TGGCAGAGATGATCTAGCCGCTTGGGCTTGTTTGCGACTGGATGACCTCCGGCAAGGTTTCCGCTTCATCCGTTTGTTCGACACAAACGGCTCACCAACATCAGGCGTTCTTTTAGTAAAAATCTCGAAACAGATTACTTGAATAAGCATGGATGCCCAAAGAAAAGACCTACCACGGAGTCGACTCGCTTATGCTGACGAATATTCTGTAACTTTGTACACCATTCGTCACATTATCCGCCTGGGATGCATACATCATTCCTGTTAATTCCACACTTATCTACGGAGTAAATGGCGTCCCACTTAGGCATTTTTAATCTTTCGTGCAGGAACAATCATGGTTTTGGCTAGAGCGAACCCCATGTCAGTCTGAACCGTGCATTTTAGTCTCCCCTGGCCCTCGGAAAAATGTGACTAAGTCGAACTGGGAAGTAGGTGACGCTTGTCAGAGCCAAGGTTCAAGCTTTTCGAAGCCTGGCAATCAGATCCTGCCTCGATCCGGCTAAATCGCCCCACAGAGTTGATCGAGAGAACGTGGAAAATGTCCGGATACATGCAGATTGAGCAAGCGTCCTCCGTATATACATACATATCGATCCTTGACACGCGGTACGTCATTCGGCGGATCTCGTATGCACTGCGGCGGAGAAGCAGAGTCATGCCAATCATCATTACCGCGGAAAAATGCCCACGCTGGTGGTGTCGTTATTGGAAAGACCTCGATCTAGCCGCCGCCTGCTGCTCCAAGGACCCTTAAAAGGCCAATCCTTCGTATACGCGATGGATACAATCAGGGATTTTCGGAATGTAAGAATTTAAAAGCCACAATTTTAAAGGTGAATTGGATGGAGTAACCATCACGAGCTGGTCAACTTTGCTCTCCATCTACTCCGTACTCCCAACGGAATGTCATTCTCGGCAGTGTTTCATTGGAGTATACTCCCAAGAAGGCCCAATAGGAGTTGAGTATCAGACCACCCAAACCGCCATGAGTTGACGCATCACATTTCTGGATCATACTTTTCTTCCCCATGCAAGAATTCCATTTCGAACTCTGTACGGAGGACTCCGTATGATACTGAGTTCATTGAACCATCAGAAATTCTAAACTGACCCGGGTTTGAAAGAATTTGCCCCGTGAAATCTTACATTATTCTCGTTACAATGCGTTGAGCTAGTTTGTTGCGAACGAATAGCCGTCAATGGCTTCAAACACATATCGAAGCAGTCGTTCCCGTGGCCGCAGTAATTTATTTGTCCCCTGTCAAAATTAAAGCGATAACAATGATTGATCGGATCATTATTTCACTTTCAACCGCATTAGGACCGACGTCATTAGCATGTTGTAATGAGAATGGATCCGGGATGACCTCGGCGCCTACGATCGCCTTATTTTTTCCCCTTGGGGTTCACACCAAGCAAGACAATCGCCGTCTATTAAGCTCAAGCCCGATGGATACATTTTGTCGTGCGGTGGGAGTTGGGCAATCAAAGCTCAACTGCAAATCCAGACGCCCAAATGCGGAGATTCTTCAGGTTAAAAGGTTCTCATGACTATGGCTTGGAATGGTTCCACTTCATGGAGCAGCATTATTGAACGAGATTGCTTCGATGGTTCGGCCAACAAGGGAAGGTCACCTAGAGGCTGGGTCACCAACCACTCGGCGGTCTGAAATAGAGTTTCTTCAGTCGTAAATAGCACGATTGCCTATGTATCCCACCAGGGCTTGGAGCGGACTCTTCTGAAAATGCGGAGCCTGATGTCGAGCTGGAGAACATTGGTTCGTGTTTTTTTTGGTACGAACGGCCGAGAAACACTTCGTAAAGCCAGCGGGATATCCCTCGTGCTTGATTGTCAAGCCAGGTGGAACGAATGACACATACCGGGAAGACGCCAATCTTCTAATCGTGGTAACCATAATGTAGTTGGTGAATTAGAGGACCAATGCGAATGATTCTGAATGAAATATTCCGCAAAAGCATCTCCAGTCGCTATAGCCCGACGTGGGTCCCTTCGATATTCAGCGCAGTCGATCGGAATCATATGCTTTGTAAAGTTGCTGTGCTGCAAGTGACTAGAATTATAGACACACTTTTCCGCTGCATTGCAGCAAGCCAAGTTATGGCTGATAATGGTGTCTCCGTGGGATAGAGTGATACTCTTACTTGCTTTTTAGTTGATCGAGGGGGAAAAAAAGAAACCTCTCGTGAGTGCGATGTGGAATCTCTGATCCACATACCAGTACAAAATAATTCATAAGGAGGCCGATTGCCGCAGCTCGCGAATGATCCAAGGCAAAGTTCCATTGCAAACAAAAGAAAAATTCTCGAAAAGCCCCATCTGAAGACGAAATAACCCCAGCGATCGCGAACGGACGTAAGGACCATCTCCGACTCGTCAGTGTCAACATTCATCCGCACCTCCTGAGAAGGAATAGTAAGGGCACAGATCAGCCAGATGTCTCCAGTATGGCTTCCTTTCAATGACGTTGTACTCAATCCTGGATGCTTATAGGATCTCTTCAGCTGCCCGGTGTACGCTGTCCAACATGCCAGGCGGGTGGCAAGGAGGTTTGGGTTATTCCCGGGAAGAATTGCCATGTATGTGGCACGGAGTGTTAAATAGGCTATGCGTATGGGTCCTATCAATATCGATGTTAATAAGGAACATGCTAACAACAACTGTGGTGACAAATACAGCACAACGTTAAATTCTAGAGCCAAGGCCATCAAAAGGCGACATAACGAAAGGGTGCCAGGGGAATCGATTGGACCGGCAGGAGATGGTTATCAGCGTCATCTCAACGTAAGGTTTCGGACTCATGGATCAGATATTTTGCAAGCCTGAATTTGTATTGGAATAAAGATGAAGCGAACCGGTGCTGTGATATCTGAACAAAGGTCTTTTTTCTTTCTTTTTTTTTAAAAAAAAAAAAAAAAAAAAAAAAATAATAATAATAATAATAATAATAATAATTGCGGTGACATGAAGGTATGAGATAGCGACTTCCACATTTTTAAGAATGGTTAATGGCGCGAAGTGTCCACTATGGGTCTCTCGCTTTTTATATATGTACTTATTTGTACACGTCGATAAAATCAAGGCCAATGCTTCAGTTGGACTTGCGAGTCGGACGTTTTCTGCAATTCGCGTATCAACCGCTGTGAAGATTCCGGTATCAAAAGATCGTTGTTAAAGTTGGATATATCTCCGAAAGTTGGCGTGAAGTTGCCCCCTTGGCGCATCGTGCACGGACCCGTATCTCAGCCAAGAGCTGCAGCAAGCGAGAGAGGGCCTAAGAATGCCCAAAGCGCGGTTTTTGGATTCGTTGTCGGGTGAATTACACGACTGTTTAATCCCGAGGAATAGCGGGCGCTCCAATTTGTCGGTTAATCACGATCTGCTGGGCCTGTGTAATGCGCCCGTTGATAGCCTGCATCAACTGATGGTATCTTAAGGCTTCTATCGAATTTGGGCCCTAACGACGGAGAGACGACTAGCCCAGATGCAAAGACCGTTCTCTCCATCCAGCCAAGTGCCCAACCCGCTTGGTTTGACACGTAAATTTGACTTTCGTATCAGATATGTAAATATCCCACTCAGATAGGCCACTTTGACATGGAGATCAGCGTCATATCTGCGTAAAAGCCGTCTATCTCAACATCTTCCTTCGGTCCTGGGGTTAATTGCGGAAGGCGTGAGATGTGCTGACAGCAAAAGCAGTGATAATAGACTATCAGAAGATTTCGTTAGTGAACCAATTCCAAGAGTAGTATGTCGGCTGCTCACTGACAGCTCGCCCCCGATAGCACGCATGAAAGCCAAAGAAGGGCGTTGTTAGTTCGCTGTAACGCCACGAAGGAGAAGACGGACATCAAAATAGGGTTGCGCCGAGCGACTGGAACCGGTCGGATTCGACTGCCCATTGGATCCCTGCATCAACGTCATGTGATGCTTAGCTTGATTGGAACCCCAGGCCATCAACGTTCATGAACGGTCTCCATGGAATTATTCCGTTTTTGCGAGGGACCTAGGGAATCAACGAGCAGAGTAACCAACTGTAGAAATATCCATTTCGTTATATTGCAAAAAGGTTGAGTTGGACATCATGACGAGTTCTGCTCGTGCACAAGACGAGAACCTTGTCCGTTCCTGGGGATTTAGCACTGTGTTTACATGGAGAGATGAGCCGTATGTTCCTCAAAATTTACATGTAGTGAACCGGACAGCCACAATCTGACACATCCCTATGTGTACCGCAGAGACACGTATTATCCCCCGCATTCCCATAACGGTCTCACCACTCACTTAATTCGGCATGGCACGTTAACAATCGCTTTTCCGAAAGACGGTGGCGCGAAGAAAATGTACGGGCCAGGTTCTAGGATCGACGTGGACGCAGGTCAGTTACATGAAGTATGGATAGGATACGAGGGCTGTGAATATGTCATCGGAGAATGAGTTTTTTTTCAGAAGAAATTCCATGCCGAGGATCACTTGTAATCTTGATTTAAACCAACAATGGAATCCATGCAAAAGCAGTACCGATGCCATCTCAACATTCATAATTTTCCGTTTCTTTCATTCGGTCATTCGTTTTGATATCATTTAGGGCGCACTCATCGACCACACGGTTGCCTAAACGACAAGCGAGGCTTGATGCGTGCCCTGAGACCGTCTCAGCTCCGAGGCCGTCATAGCGCAGGGAAATAACACCGCACATCAACGTGTTTCGAGAGCAGAAGTGGATGGCTAGCTATTTCACATGGCTGGGTAAGATCGAAGAGGTTTCCCAAAGCTCATTCCAAGGCTGGCGTTTGTATTTTGCGGTGACCGGTCCGTGCTGGCCACTATATTGTCTGAAGGGGATAAAATTGCAAACAGGCTCTTTGTTCTCTCGTAACGGCTGTCAAATATGTATTGTTGCTGTCGCCATCTCAGTCTACATATTTTTTGTAGAACGATTAACCCTTCTATCGGCAGCAATGAAAAGCTAGCGCTATTCAGAGGAATATGGCTCTTCAAAAACATGGAATAAGCCTACCGTCCACTCCCTAAACTTTCGTGCTGACTCCGGGAGCAACGTAGTCCTGCTGTTTAGTAGACTTTCTGTCTGTTCATAAATGTGTGCTGGGAGTGGAAGCTCCTCCAAGGACGCCGAGGATGGGGTACCGCTTTCCGGGTTCAACAGTGTCTGGATATCGCTAGTGTGCTGATAAAATAACTTCAAAGCTCGCTGGGCGCTTGTTGCTAAGTCATTATTCTTGCATTCGTTGCCGCCGCTAGGAGAGCCATTGGAGACATCGCTGTCGAGATATGAATAGCGGATGTCTGGGTTGAATATCCAAACCTGCGAATTTTACAGTCAATGGTGGTATCATCAATGAATTTCAGGGTGATCTTACCAGTATTCCATTATTTGTAGCACTATTGTCATCACGATGAAGAATATATCTTCTTGCACCGGTTCTCTCAATCTTCTCGAGAAGTTCCGCAGAAATAATCATGTCAGCCGGGTATATTTCGCAGTCATTAGCTAAAACACCACCCCCAGAACTATTCTGTAGCGGCCGCGAGGCCATCAAATCCGATTTGAAAAGAACTAGGCCATTGATCGACGGTTGCATCTGGCCAACGATTCCTAGGCATTTCGTGCACCGCACAGGCAAATGCGAGCAGCGGCTTGTTTCTTCTTTTTCTTGCCGCCGCTGACGCTCTGCGTCTGCGGCATTCTTTGACTCATCTAATGGAGGAACCTGGGAGGAAATTATGCATTAGTATGGAGTGCTCTTTTGATTGCCTATTGTCACCAAAAAAAAATAAAAAAAAATAAAATAAAAAAAAGGAAACAAGGAAATTTTCGACCTCAAACTATATCAGCGCGGTCAGGAAAGTGAAGGTAGGAAATCTACGGAAAAAGCAGGACAAATGCCATAAGAGAAAATTCAACTCGCGGGCTCATGGTCCTCCCCTGCCGTTTGATTTTAAATATATAAAAAGGGTTGCAACTTCCACCGGCTGGTTTAGATTGAGAATAATTGCATCGACAAAGAGGATGCGTGGGATGGGTTGCAGATCCACGACCAACCCAAAGCGCTCGCCCTCTGCTTGGAGCATACATGTACCTCAGCTTGTATCCCACGGACCCCAAAGCTTTGGGAACGTCTACTCCGAGGTGAAATACGGCCGGGCTAGCGATTTCTTTTACCATTGCATGTCCTGAAACACAGATCAACCCAATTCAGTATCACATAAAGCGATAACGAAGCATACAGGAAAGGTGGCGGCAAAAAAATCCATACATCGTGAGGGTAAACGATGAGGATAATATTCACCTTCACCCTTCTGTATACTTCAAATCTGCTTTTGCTGTGCATCCCCGAATGGGATTGCATTTCAAAGAACACACTGGGAGGAATTTCGCTGTTATTTTTATTTAATCTTGGGCAGCAGTATCGGAAACTAAACCATGGAGCTATGGAGCCACAAAGCAGCGGTACCGATTCAGATTCCTTCTTTCTGCCCATCCCAATAGACCATTCTCATACCACAGAGGAAATATTGAGCTATTATGTGACGGCTGAGATCATTCTCATTTGTTTTGGAAAGGAAGTGTGATGCGAAATGGAAAGAAGCACTGCTTACCATGGATTCTACCCCAATAGCATTGGTTTCTGTCACGTAGAAGTTCATAACATCAACAAGCACTGTATCAGCCTGGCATACAGTGTGGTTCCCAGCACCATACCCTTTTGAAGCAGCGCTCTCATTGTGAGTGGACATAGGACCATTATGCGTGACTTTATCTTTATGATCTCCATCTTCATGTGAATCCGGCTTATGGCAGTGCCAGATATCCATTAACTCCGCCCAGTTTGCACTTGGTAAATCCTTCCATACCATTCGGTTGCCTCCCTGGGGTTCCAAGAGGATATTTCCGCAAGCTCGGCATTTTATCCGTGTTTCCGCAGACATATGTTTGGCAGACCACGGAATCTGGGGAGTAGATGCATCGCGGGATGGAAAACATTGGCTACCCTCGTCGACCTGCAGACGAAAAGAAAATTCCCTTTGGTCTATATTGCTAGCACTTCCCGGTTGAAGCGGGAAATAGCTTGGTGCACTGGGAGCCACACGAGCGGGAAGTCGTAGGGACCGCTTTTGATCACCGACTGAAAGCAAAAGCTCATCTCGAGAGGGCACAACTTCAAGGATATTTTGGGTTTCGCTGGAGTTTGGCAAGTCGGCCAGCGTCACATAGACCGCGATCTGGGAGATATTCGGAAGAAACTCAGCATACAGCCGCAACCTTGGTGCATATCGCGTCACCATTGTATTTGTGAAGCAGGCGGTTCTGTGGGGATGAAGCACTGCAAGAAGTTAGTAAAGGTAAAGGATATTCGAAACCCAAAAAGGCCCGACATAAAGTGTTGTGAATTGTGCTTATGATGCACAGCGAGTTCAACACTAATCAGTCTTTGGAGGACTTCGTACGGAGTAAACCAAACAGGCGTTAATTACTACGGAGTACATTAGTTCGTTATTCCTAAAATGGCTAGATTCACCAAGTTAGTTAATACCATGTCAAAGCTTCCAATGCAAACACAGAAAACATCAGTAGTACTCCGTACAGAAGATTCGTGAAAGCAACTGCTCCGACACCATTTTCATCAGTACAAACATTTTTATCACCCTCTTTATTTTTTTACTTCTTTTATTTTTTTTATTTTTATGGTTTGTTTTTGTGAATAGAACCTCTGCGGATGCTAAGGAGAGTTTCCCACAGAGAAGGGATTTCAAGGTTTTGATACCATAGGGAAATCAATGTCGGGTTGTAACTACACGAATTTCATACAGAGTAAACTCTGTACGGAGTATACTCTGCACATACAAAGAAATGCAAAAATCTCGGTAAATCTAAATATATAGAGATGGAGATGTAGGAATCTAGGTAGATTTGAGTTTGGGCCATTCATTCTCATCTATGATGGTAATTTGGAAGATTGTAAGCACAGGGTCCTCCGTATGCCTAGTGATTTGACGACGACGACGGCGTACAAGCTGGTAATCGCCTCAAACTCCGAATAGCCCACCATAGCTCTGCTTCATAGACCACCCCATCCTTGAAATTCATCAATAAATTTCAGCGCTGCTCGTAAATAAAAAAATTCACGATCTGCCCAAGTCTTCTCCGCCTCCCTCATTGTTCGTAGAGGTTTGATATAATGAGCTGATGTAGACATCTTGTGGTGCAATGCATGTTGACTAACCCAATTCCAGTCCCTTCCTTCAAGGTCATAATCTTTGATCGCATTTATGCTTGAAGCGTTAAACTGGGGCCGGAGTTCGGCTATGTATAGCCCCAACGCAAGCAGCCACCATTGCCGAAGCAAGTTCACATGATACTGGGCGGGGATCGATGGGAAAATGATACGCAGAGCATGGGTGGTGGTTAAAAGGTGAACGAAGAAGAAATTGTGAGGTTTTGCACCACTATTCACGAGTAATGCAGTTGCAAAACGCTGGATGGCCTCGAATTGTTCGGTGGCATCGGCAACGTCCCAGGCGGCCCAGTGATTTAGGAGCGGAGCTTCACCGGATTTGAAAAGAACGTCGAAATTGGCCACTGCTGTGGTCTCGAAGAGACCATCAAATGCCTTGTCATTCTGTACCCTGTTAATGATCTCTAAGAGAGAGGTTGTCTTGTAAGAAGATGCAGAGCGTAGGTATGATGGGTTATCCAGATATTTATGGATGTCACCATAACACGATGCAGCCATTGCTAAGGCTTCCATCGCTACCTCTCGATTATCCATTTCATACGCATAGCCCAAATGAATAAGCGGGTGCCCAACTATGACCATGATCAGAGCCATAAGCCACTTGTAAGGTAGGAAAGCTTCACTCACAACCAGATATCAAAGAATTAACCAGAGGCATTTTATGTGCGCAGAGGTACTCCTGGGCCACCTTTTTCCAGTCATACCCACAGCGCACAACTTCATCCTCGAAAAAATCTAAATATGCACGTTGGTACTCTCTTTTTCCCAAAAATTCTCCCCAATCAATGTCTCCGATCTCGCCTGGAGAATCAACCCATTGCTCCAGCTCTTTCGATTCAGACTCATACAGCCGATTTAAATGCTCAGAATCTCCGCCAAGCAAATATGCTGTCGAGAGCAGCTATATCCCACGTAAGAATTGGCCCTGCTCAACGGATGGGTTGTCACTTACATGTGGCATGTGATTATAAAACAGAAGCCCATTATACAATATAGAAAAGTTCGCATGATTCAGTTTGATTAGATGTTTCAAAGCCCTTGCGGCCTTCTCCTGTGCCGTTTCTACATTATGGGTTTCGGTGACGGGGACCCTGACGGTGTGTTCAGCTGGTGGTTGCGAGAATTGTCTGAATGAGGGTATGAGGGACGAGAGTTGGGACAACATGGCGGGGGTTGAAATCAAGCTATGCAGGAAATTGAACAGCACATGGAGGAAGATGGGAGTTAGAAACTTTAAACACTGTAACTAACTAATATAAATACACCGACAAACACCCTCCAAGTCTCGAAGCAATGTCATGACCATCAGTGACCCCCAACTAAGGTTGGGATTAAACGCCCCAACACAAGCCGCTGACACGTGATGGCCACTTTGTTCCAATTTAAACTCGGAAAGGTCCTTTTTGGTGGAGTTCCAGAAGGTGTGGCAGACCGGGGACACAATCTTGGCAGAATCACTCTATCTTTGGTCAATGGAACAGGATGTTTAACTTATACAAAGTAACTCGATTATCAATACATTGCCATAGAGAACATAAATCTTGCCGCCTAGGTATACACAAGTATATATTGTCTTAGAAATCTTGGGACTCATAAAACCACCAACTGGTATAGCGCGCACTATCCTGATGTGCATATAATGTCATTTCCATTTATTTCGACGCGTCTGATGAGGGGAAATAATCCTTTTCTGTTGGTTCCTTCAAGTGGTCGGTCCGGATGATATATTCATCGTCATCATCATTGTCTTTCGGCATTTCTAGTTTCCCGTCTGGCTGGTGCTCAACTTGTGAAACAGCGAGCCCATTCATACGCGAGGGGCCTTTAGCCGAACCATTCGTCAGAGCAAGTTTCGCTCGCTCTTTATCAGATTTCTTCGCCGTATCCACAGACTCAAATGTACGGCGCACGCGCTCGAAGTGTTCTAGTTCTTTTGCACTGTATAAATCGGTTAGTACCTATGTGGTAGATTTCAGAAAATGGAAGCCCATACCTAACACTTGGAACTAGCTCCTGCTGCGCCGCGAAGAAATCTTCCTCCGTTACCATAACCGCAACATCCTCGGGGCTTGCAAGATGATCAAAGAAGTATGCTGTGCTTACAGGGCCGCCGGGAAGTGCGTTGATCTTCTCATCCACGGCTGAAGCTTGGCGCGTGATGGCCTTGAGCATAGCATCAGAACAGAGTGCATATAAATCAGCTCCAGTATATGTAAACGGTAGTCGCTCTGCGATGCGCCCCAGCGAAATATCAGGGTCTAAGGTAAACTTTCGAGTGAGCGCTTCCAAGATAGTGGTTTGTTTGGCATGGGTGTCCGAGACACCTAGGTAGAGCATCTTGTCAAAACGACCGGGGCGGAGCAAAGCAGCATCCAAGAGATCCGGTCTGTTAGTAGCGCCAATGACAAAAACGCCACCGCCATTTTCGTCACCGCTGCTCATACCATCAAGCTCGGCAAGCAGTTGGCTGACAATACGATCCATAACACCACCGCTATCACCTTGGTTGCCACGCTTGGGCGCAACTGAGTCGAGCTCATCGAAGAAAACAACGCAAGGCCGTGCGTCTCTTGCACGCTGGAACACACGTCGGACGTTCGCTTCCGACTCTCCAATATACATATTAAGCAGCTCCGGGCCCTTAACGGAGAAGAAGTTGAGGGAAAATTCGGTGGCAATGGCCTTGGCCAGTAATGTCTTTCCAGTTCCAGGAGGGCCGTAAAACAATATACCACTCCGCTTTTTCATTCCCTTTGCGAAGAGCTCCGGTCGTTCCAGAGGCAGTTGAATAGTCTCCATCACAGCATCTTTTACATTGGTCAGACCACCAACGTCATCCCATGTGACATTAGGAATCTTCGGAGCGCCAATGGAATCAGCAAAGTTCTTACGGGCGGCATCGACAGCTGCATCGAAGTCAGCCTTCGTGACGCATCGCGCCGCGTCCCCGCCGGAAATCTCAACATCTATAACCGTAGCCTTCGACCCTTCAGGGCTACAGGCAGCAGCTTCAGCAAGTTTCTCCAGCCGGAGCGTCCGTGCAGCCACCGCTCTTTCGACCACGTCGACTAAGTCACCAGCGACCAACGCAGCTGTTTTCACCGCAACCGAAGAAAGATCTACGTCGGGGGAAAGTCTCACGCCCAAATCTGCGACGGCGTTCTGGAGAATGCCCTCTCTTTCCTTTTCTTCCGGAGCGGTCATTTCCAATTCATGTGTGAACAAGCTTCGAATTCCCTCCGGAATTTTCTCCACATCTGTAGTGGTCGCAATGACGGCTCTAGCATCAGTAGCAATTTCTTTCATCGCTGTGACCATCCTATCCGCGGTCAAAACCTCAATATGTTGAATTAGAAGAGCCGTACAGTCTGCACCACATGCAAAGGCTCTATCTGCCCTCGCTTTTAAGTATGCTTCGGTTTTCACATCTCCACCGTTCGCTCCACCTTCCGCAAGGATATCGTAAGCATCAATTGTGAAAGTGTGGAGGCCTATATCTGCACATGCATTGCGTGCAACTGTTGATTTCCCAATACTCCGCTGCGTAGAAGTCAAAAGGATGACGACTGGTTTCATGCCAAGCTGAATAGCTCGAGGGCTCGTAGCTGCAGCTATAAGATCCCGTACTCGCCGCTGTGTTTGAGAAATATGTTTCCTCGGCGGCTCCATTAAAGTTCCGCGAACCCCTGGCTGTTCAGTATTGGAACGTGGGAGTGACTTCACACCCAGCCAGTACTCCCAAGTGTTTCCGTGAGTTTTTGGCACAGTGCCGATCTCGCTTCCAGCTTGGACCATCCTGGTGTTGAGACAATCAATTATCGCCACACCACCCCACTGTTCTTGTTCTAAAACATCGGCAGTCTCTCCGGTTGGCGTTGCAACATGACTGACCCGGAACCAAGCAACTCCAATTTTCTTTGCTCCGCTTGGTGCACAAGAGGCAGAATCAGAGGAAAATTCAAGTTGCGCCATTAATTCCTCATCCTGACCAGCAGCTTCGGGTGACTTGCTCGTTGAGAAGATGGTTTTTCCCAATCCCTCGTCCACACTAATGCCGACAATATCACCGCTCTTGACTAAGCGTCGTTTCAATTCGAAATGGCGCTTTAGAGCCCCGAAAAGTGCAGGCTGTAATGCTCTATTCATAGAGAGCGGTGTCGAAATCTTTAACAACGTAACTTCTTTAGCGACCGGAGGTGCCTTGGTGGAACCACCTTTTTGCTGGCTTGGACCAAGCCGCGAGGCTGTATGAGGTTGGTGAGGCGTATGCGTGGGCAGTGGTGATAATTTCAGATATTTAGGATTCTGCATGTTATGAAGCAGAATAGGTGGAACCAAAACGGTAGGTGTCAAACTATGAGAGGGCATGTGTGAGATGCTTGATCGTCTATCGTGGTTTATCGAGTAGCGCAATTTGGGTGGTGAAAGCCCCGAAATTCCGTAGACTTTCGCGATCCTCCAGTCGTCGGATTCTCCGGTTTCTCCCAATCCATTCAGACTTCCAAACTTCAAGGAGGCGAGCATATTGCGCTGGGGCTCCCCAGAAGCTTCAATTCGAACCCAATCCCCAGAAAAGCAGCCAATTTTCACAAGAGCCTGCACATCGACGAACACAAATGCCTCTATGTCATCGTCATCTCGTGGTTTTGGGTGGAGAATCTCGTTCGAAATTTTGTCCAAAAGGCATTCCGCACGGAAAACTTTCCCTCCGAGTCTTCCCTGGCGTGCAGTACCGGATGTAAAGCCAGAGAGAACCGATCCCGGAGTGTGGACATCGTATCGCTTTCCGCCCGGTCGAGGAGTCGCTGATGACAAGACCGACATCACCCCAGAGGGCTGCTGAGGCAACTCAGGAGCGGCCAGCGAAATCATGTCATCCAATGAATCATCAGACATTTCACTTAGACTATGAACAGATGCATCCGTATCTGACTCGTCTGGTGGACTTGCGCTTTCGAAATCCGTGCCACTCTCTACTGGCCTGTCCTCAGCCGCGGAGTAAAATTGCTCATTTGTGTCTTCCCCTTCATCTTCCGCGACCTGATTTAGAAGGTTAAATCGGGGGGATGTTAAGCCTTTAGTAGTCCGAGATTGCTGCTGCGACCGACTTTGGATGAGCACAACTTTGGTTGTGGGGACCAGAAAGCCCTGCGAAACGGGCTCACAGAAGGATATTCTCGCTGGAGGAAGAGGGTTATGGGTGATTGGGTGAGGAGGCAAGGGAAGCGGCATAACATCACCCGCGTGTAGAATCTTCTGAGCAGACAGTGCTCCTCTAACAGCGGCCATCAGCCGTTCTTCTCTCTCCGTTCGTGCCTCTTTTGAGTTCGTTTCCGCTACTCGAACTGGGACAAGCGAGTTCGCTTTCCCTTTTGTCCATAGACGACCACTTTCACCATTGAATCCGCCGCCGAATCGGCTTTGCACTTCATCAAAATCGCGCAATAGATTTTTCTCAACCGTTACATAGACAGTATCAAGATGAAGAGGGGCAACGTCCAAAATGTAAATTTCGATTCCACGATGTGCAAGGAGCGAGTTTCTCGGCGGGTCAACAGTCTGCAAAGCTTGGAGAAAGGACTGAATGGAATTTCCAGTGACTGGAAAATGCACAGTCGAATGCGATATCGTGGTAGCAGCCTTTGACTTATCGTTGAACTGGGTGCGAACCGGGATGATTGTCCAAGTGATATCCTCGACCGCAGAAAATCGCGGTATCCATGGAGCCACAGCCACGTATAATGTATCGGGAATATTTCCTGCATTTGGATTCACGAATCAATGTCAGAATTTCCAGTCCCCTGATCTCCACAAAACTGCACACAGGTTGCCCAAAACGTACCGCTTGTATTCAAGTGAGGGAAAAGGTCAAGAACCAAATCATCGGAAAGCACACCAATATCGCCTTTTATTCTATGATCAAGAATTAAACGGCCCGAAAGTGGTTTCCTGTTCGTCGGTTGTCGCAAGAAACGGGTCTTCCTCCGCCGGTCCTTTTGCGATTCTGGCACATGGTGCAATTCCCGCCCCATCGTGTCTATTGGCCTCATACACCAGCTTAGCAGGCCGTATCGCGCCCTGAATCGGCAAATGTAATGAAATTTTCAAGGAAACGATACAGATCAAGAAGCCACGAAAAAAGAACCTTGGGGGTTGGAGCTTCGAGAGGGAGAGCCGGAGGTGAGATGGACGAAATGCGGGTGGAAAGCTTAATTCGGTAGTCAGGCTTTTGGACTTCCGATGCCGAGGTTCCTTAGCGGAAGATGCAGCCAACGAGCAACAGACTGCCAATCAACAACAGGCGCATCTACCAGTCTTTTCAGTGGCACATGGCAGTCTGAACATGCTCTACATAACGTAGATCAGTACGGAGTAGTGGTCAGGTACTCTTTACTCTGTACACGGCATAATTACCAGGCCGAAGGTTTCTACCTTGCAATTTCCCCTGAGTTCCTTGCCACTCGAATTCAAATAAAACAGAGACCCAACAACTATATTATACATTCAATTAGTGGAGAGCAAATCACGCTGATAAGTGGTCTTCTACTCAGAAAAATTCTTTCAGCACAGGGTCTTCAGCTATTGTGTCCGAATGCGCCTTGAACCTCCCTGGAGAGTAACATCACAAGAAACAACAACTTAGAAAGGCGGCTCATCACACATACTGAAATGAATGTATTCGCCATACGACGTACTACAGACTTTGTATATCGGCCCTACATTAATTCGTCCATAGAGCCTCCTTTCTTAACCGGGATACGGGAAGACTCATAAGGGCTCCGGGTCCACGCAACGAATCCTCACAATTCACATGGATTTGGAAAGTGTACATTTCGAATGTAATTCAGCCACGCCATACTTTCTATTTGCAATTACCCCAAGGTAGTCAACGCTGAGGGATTGGTACCTTGCAAGGAGGAAGTTCTACCATTTGACGACATTGCCATTATTCATATCCCCAGCTTTCCGCCTCATAGGATATGTGCATTTAAATCATTTGTCCTCTCCAGTTCAATGCAAAAGAAATGCTGGGCCTAGAGGCCATATATGGAGGAGCTAAACGTCTAGAGTACCCAAGGCGGGATCCGCTAGATCAGATGCAAGCAATGGAGATGGACCTAATCCGGAATGCCGGTCTTTATATTTCTCCGCCTCCCGAAACGCTCTAAATCATGTGACTCCGTGATTCCGTCGCCAAGACCCAGCTCCAAGGCCAATAAGCTTCCACGAATTTAGGTTTGCAACAATTATAGCTGAGTTCAGTGGGTCTGTAGGCACTTCCTGACCACTCAGAGTAAAGGAATATTTAGAAGCCAAGCACCAATCAGTCCAGACCATTCAACTCCTCCGTACTACGGAGTACGGGGTAGAATCAATTTGTTTCTTCCGCCCGTTTGCCAAGGGCGCAACCCTGCCGCCACTGTTCATCGGATCAACAGCTCCAGCTCCTTCTTCCCAGCCCCGGCCCGCCCTTCTGCATCTTCGGATCTGGTTCATCACTGCCAAATGCAGACCCTTACCAGCAACTTGGGGTCTTCGTCTCTTGGCCACAACAAGCTGGCCCCAGCATGCAAAACAACTTCACTCATCTATATGGCACGCTGAGAGATCCACACGTCGTCCTTCAGTATCTGGACTATTATGCAAGGTGACGTGACCTTTCGTGAGATCCAAAAATGGAGCTCAAGTGTTATCATTAAGCAAAGAGAGAACATCCCTAAGATGTCTCGCTCCAGGTGACCCCTGTGCCAAGATAGCCGGCATCTCATCGCTCTCCTGTTGTGGCGGTATGGTTAACTTGGGCTTGAGCTCTTCTTACTCCTGCACCCAGCATTCCTTTCCAGCAGTGAAGAGTGAGTTCCTCTGTGACATCTGTCCGGAGGTCCCCGGACTACGTATGAGCTTAGGGCTCGTATGAGGCAACGGTTCTTCCGCCCGCTGCCGTCCCTCGTATCAAGAATGACGCTGCCTGGAAAGTCTGATGATGAGCACCCATTCACCAATCAACAACTATAATCTCCGGTATTGCAGCAACCTTTTTACTCAGATCTTGCAGGATAAAGTCCTCAATGTCGTGGAGTGACAAGGATTGCGAAACCGGATCTAAGGGAAAAGCCCGCCATCCGAGAGCTTATGGACGTTGGGTAGCTTTGATAGCGGAGAAAAACATCTTTCCCACTCCATGCCTGAGAGTTTCAAACAGAGTGTTGCCAAAAATGGCTATCTTCCCTACTTTGATTCAACAGCCGGATATTATGCATGTGCATCGGTCAGGAATGTATCAAGTGGCTTATGATTCTGCAAGACAAGACAACATCGGAACGATTGACGAAACAGTATACCTATTATCAAGCCTTCCACCTCGAATTATCGAAATCTTTATGGCGAGGCAATCTGGATCACATCTTCAACCAGCACTTTGTGCTCCGTAGATGGGCCACAATCCGTTTCTTCCGCTCCATTCTCTTCGCTTCAGAAACGTGTTCGAGTGCTTGAACTCAGCTATAACAGCTGCAAAAGCAATACGCAAGCAACCTTAACCTTACTTGCTCGGTGTCATAGCAATTCGCTTGTGGAAAGGATCTACTTACCCTCGTTTTCTGTCAGCCACCGCGTTCCAGAAACTTGCCCTCTTCCCTGCAAGGCTTCTCGGCAGCGTGAAGCTATCCAATGCGGATGACGAGCTTGCGCGACCCATCAACCAGGCACATATACGGAGTTATATTTACGCAAGCAGAATGTCCCAAAGTTCTAGTTGGATCTTCAATTTTAACAGCCCATCGAATCCAGGCCATGTCCCTGGCAAAGGCGCGTGTGGCTCATGGATAGGGCTTATATTTTGCGCATATGTTCTCTTTGGTCGTATACACAGGGCGTACGGTGCGCCAGCTGACCTTGAAACCGGTCCTCAGCTGCCAAACAATCTCGCATTTCGCGTTTGTCCCTGTTATATATGTAGGTAGCTGGGTGGCTCTCCTTGTTGTGTCGTTGGAAATACTTCTATCTGTTTACTCAAACTAGAGTATATACAAAACGTATATGCAAATCTGTTTTCTTTTGGTCAGACTGTTTTACGGAATGATTTCTTCTACTCTTATCGCCACTGTCGCTTGTGGCGCCTTCGCTTCTCTTGTGAGAGCGGCACCACCCCAAGAATGTGTGAGTATAGGTCCTAGCGAAGTCTGTAGCCGTATGGCTAACTATCCCCTACGCAGTGTTCGATCCTCTCCAAAGCGCTTCCAAAGAATGTCTTCGCTAGTGGATCTTCAACTTGGGAATTTGAAAATAAGGACTACTGGTGTTAGTTCCTTCCCCGTGCCATTTGTATAACCTGAGATCTGAACAAAATATAGCCTCGACTGCAGTTTTGGATCCAAACTGTGTCTTTCTCCCAGACACAACAGCCCGTGTTTCTGAGGCAGTCACCCTCCTCGGGGAAAACGAATGCAAGTTTGCCGTCAAAGGGGCCGGACATAGCGCCATCCCAGGAGCTGCTAATATCCATGATGGCATCATGATGTCGTTAGCTTGGTTGAATTCGTCAGACGTTCACCTTGAAGATAATTACATCCGTGTTGGAGCCGGGCAGCCACTTGGTAATGTTTTTGAGGCACTGGATCCTCACAATGTCGGAGCTGTCATCGGAAGGTTCTCCAAAGTTGGCTTGGGGATGGGGGTCGGTGCTGGTGTCTCATTCTTCTCAAACCGTGAGGGTCTCATGATTGACAACATTTTGAACTATGAGGTTGTTATTGCCAGTGGTGAAGTTGTTAACGCAAGTGCAACTAGCAACCCTGACCTCTTTTGGGCGCTCAAGGGCGGCAATAACAACTTTGGCGTCGTTACACATTATGACTTGTCTATATTCAAGACCACTGGTCTCTACGGCGGCCAAGTTACCTACCCTGAAACATCCCTCGACCAGCTTGCTGATGTTATCTACGACTACCATGTCCATCAGGCGGTGGACGATGTCAACACGCACGCCCTTCCTCAATATGCTTTCGATGGCAACGCCAATGAGACCTCTGCCACGATCCTGGTTGCGTATAACGATGCGGTAGACGAGCTCCCAGAGATCATGCAGCCATGGCTCAAAGTTCCACATTCAAAGAGCACTCTCAAGAGAAGAACCTACGGTGATCTAGCTACTGAGCTTAACGACGGATTTCCAAATGGACTTGTGTAAGTCAAGTCACGTTTACCTTTGCTCGTCTATCGTGACACTTCTTCCAAATGAGATTCAACCACCTCCATCCAGGTTAGCTAACCACGTGGAATATAGCCAGGAGCAGCGAGTGTTCACAGTATACGCTGATGAGCAATTTTACAAGGATGTCTGGTTCAAATATCGTCAGTGGCTCCAAAAGTATAAAGATGTGCCTGGATTTTTCGGAAGCCATGCGAAGATGCCAATCACTCCCCGACAAATCGAAGAAGGAGTAAAGAAGGGTGGAAATGCGCTCGGCTTGGAAAAGGGCCCGCAGGATAAAACGTTGGGAAGTAAGTATCTTATCATATATTCTTCATCCAAGAAAACATATCTGTGGCATGAACTCGCATGGAACTGATCTTGGAGCTGACACAACCCTGCAGTCATCTACTTCGGTGTGACGTTTAACAATCCTGAAGACGCCCCCGATGTTTTCCCTGCGCACAAAGAATTCGTCGAGTCGATGATTGAGTTTGCTAAAAGCCGCAAAGTGCTTCATCCACTTATGTAAGGACAATTGAATGAAATTCATGTCTCGAACGAGACTGTAGTAATAATATGGATAAAGAAAGCTAATCGCCCAATGAGCAGCATGCTTACATTCTCCGCATATGACCAGCCAGCTATTGCCAGCTATGGAGATGAGAACGTGGCGAAACTGCATGAGGTAGCAAAGAAATATGACCCCAAAGGTGTCTTTCAACGTCTTGTTCCCGGGGGCCAGAAACTACCTGCTCAGTAGTTTCACACGAACAGACTTTATGGATTGTAAGATCTGGTCACTCCAGCATGAGAGATCGCTTGAATGCTGCAATGAAACAGGCGATTCTTTTGTTTACTTGCCTTTTCCACGATCTTGCTTGTAGCTGTTTTGAGTACTGTGGATACTGTGGGGTAATGCAGGCAGTTATATTTTGAATGGAATTTATGTGTCCTTCAGTCCATGCCCTGTACTCAACCAAAGAATTATATGTATGGGGGGAGACGTAATGTGCCCTAATTGTAGGCACATGATCTCTCACCTCGTCTGCTCGAACGACCTTTCTGTGAGCTATGTTTGGTGACGTCTTGGAAAAAAGAATCAAAGCCCAAAAGCATACGAAGAGTGACGTTGGGGTCAGTCAGTCAGAAGATTTCAGGGCGTGTTCCTCGTTCCCCCACGGGGAATGAAGTCGTTACCGCACCAAGATTTTTATCTTTGATAATGGGTGCGAGCACGATATCCCTTGTGAGTACTCCGTACACACAATGTCCTCAATGGGGCCTTTAAGAGGCACTAATGTCAGATTGAAAGAAAAAAATGTAAATGTCGATCTTTCGCCCTGGTGAGCAATCGACCGTAGTGGTCGGCGCTCCAAAAAGGGTATCGGAAGGCATCATCGTTAGGGGCGAGTCCGGCAGCCGCCCTCAAGTTTTCCGTAGGAACCTTGCATCGTGAGCGAAGAGCTGGTTTCGTTACGTCACTGCGTAAATGCCGGGGGTTCCCAAAGGAGAGTCAGTTATGAACCGGGATACGTACGGAGCACGGAGTCCAGATAGGGATGCCGCACTTCCTCACTGGACGTCCCGCGGAGACCAATGATTGGGTTCATTTTTTAAACTCGCAATGAAACGGAAAAGCCGTGGATATTCGACTAGGGTTCCGCGCGGGTGTCGATTTCAAACCCGGAGTTTCCAAAGGTGGGCTCTGGTCTTTTTGCCACCAAGATGTCATATTATTAGCATCAGTGAAGGTGTGGTGCAGGCAAGCAACGATTTGCCCATTGGTAAGGGCCGCTACAGGCGTTAGTTACCAGACCTTCCACCACGACAAGGACAAGCATATCGACCAAAGCCATCCACCACCCCGATACAAGCCCCGAAGGACATTTCCCCAAAGCCACCAACTTCAATTTAATACGCACAAGGGTAATTATTAGTTAGTGAGTCAAGCACCCACTCCATTTGGATAGGAAATCATCGAGCTATAGCTGCTCGACATGCTTGACGCACTTAAAGCCCCAAATCTACAGAGCACTTTGACCAATATAGTGAAGTGTGCAACTTGGAATGCAGATGTATGGATAAGCAGCTCATTTGGGAGTTTATCTTTATTTTTATTTTTGTTTGGGACTTTACGGAGTACTGAGTCTTTGAAGTTAAATTGTATGAGGGGGTGGCCGTGTGTAATGAGGTAACTCCCCTAAGACAAAGTGTAGCGCACCCACTGCCAAGTATGGCCGTATTATGATGGGGATCGATTCTGTCATTGAACCAAGCGAGCCTCCTATCAGGATTGGCTGGCTTTACCACTTCTGGCACCAAACACTGGCGAGTTATTGCTGAGAAATGTACGGAGTACTCCGTGCGTAAGGAGGATAACTCACTTCCCATGGATCGTGTCTCTCCAGTGGTGAAGGAAACGATGTTTCATGACAGTTGGCCTCAAGTCTCTCAGCCTGCAAGCGAGAGAGAGAGAGAGACTGATGTGGCTGCTCTCTGTCATGGATTGTGTGGCTCATCGGCCGAGCCCAGCTCGACGCTTACCGAGTCTAGTTTAGTGGGGCGTTCCTTTTGGGGTGCGCTTTGCGAGGTGGGGCTTAGCGCGGTTTTGCTGTTGAGCCGCAAAAAGGGCTCCGCTGGGATCGTATCCAGCCGAATCAGCCACCTCCTGGCTCAGGGCATGCCCAACCCAATGCAACTCCTTTGTTCGCAAGGGGAAATTTTTGTGTGAATTGTCAAATCGAATACTGCAGATGGAGCAAGGGTGCGAAAACTTTACCATACCCGTTGGACAAGAGGACAGCTCTGGGTTTGAGTGGGACGGGTGCTCAGCGATGGATGGGTGATGATGATGCAGTTGTTGGTTTGGTGAGGTCATGGCGGTGCATTCGACATGGGGCCGTTAGCTTGAAATTTGAGTTGAGACAACAACATTACCAAACGAGTTCAAACGGTAACGATCTCTCAACAACGCTCGACGTGCTCCATAACCAAATCGGAAAATAGGGATCTTGTGAGCCGCGAGGAAAAGGGTAAAAGTATAGCGAAAGACAAAATCAGTGCCCTTTTCCCCGGAGAAAAGCGTTGAGAGCTGGACAGCCCGACCTCATGCGTGTGTATTGAGGCTCTGTATGGATACGGGCGGGAATGGCCGTCGCCGCTGACAAAGCAGCCGGAGAATTGGCGTAGGGAAAACCGACGCGGCCAGATTGGGTTTAGTGCGGTCTTAAAGAGCATCCAATCAGAAGCCTTCGCTGCTCCGTCAATTAGGCAGACACCATAAAGCACGACTTGGCGCGTCACGCCCGCCGTCCTTCCCCTTCGTTCCCTCGACTTCCATTGTTTTTAACACCAACTGTCCTGTTCCATCCTCCTTCTTTTTGTCAGCGCTTGCTCTTCATCGCCGGCCTTCCCTGACACTCTGCCTGCAGCCCACGGCAGCATCCATTGAATCTTGCCCTGCTGGCACCGCACCGCGGCACAGCTCCATATTCTTATAACAGCGTCAATTAGGCATTGAGCACCGTCGTTCGCTCTGCTCTCTTCTCGTTCGATGATCACTTGGACACCCTCGTCCTCGGGCTCTTTCTCATAGTTTCAATCGAGAACCGGGCTCTGGGCCGTGGTTGCGAGCAGTCTGTCCCATCGTCTGTCTCGCTCACCTCTTTTGGAACTCCGCTTGAGAACCGCACCTTTTTGGGTTTGCACGCAACGAGGCCGAGAAGATTGGATCCCTTTCTTTGGATCACCTCCTCAAAGAGTAAGTACAGCCAATTCTAGAGTTTGAATGACCGCAACCCGCCAGATCGCCTCTGTCCGTTCCTTGGTCGGATTTGGCTGCACATACATGCTAACCTGCTCTGGTGAACAGGTCGACTTGTCGGACTCTGATTCTGGATAAGCTTCCACTCAGACTCGTGAGTCATAAACGGATCCCGCAAAGTTCCTTTTGCTCATTGGCTGTGGAATTCTCAGAACCGTGACTTGGACCTGGTCACACAGTATGTCCGAATCCCAGTCCCACCCGCGTCGCCGTCCCTTTAATAAGGCCGCGCCCCTCCCTCCTCTCTTGACTTCTTCGGACCATGGTAACGGCTCTTCAAACCGTGCTGTTCGACCTCATAACATGAAGTTGAGGAAAGGGGCTACCTTCCATTCTCCAACAACGCCTCCCACCGAGGAATGTGACCCGATCCTCTACATACCCTCTTTGCCTCGCCGAGCTCCCACCTGCTCACGGGCACTGGAGGAAGTTATCGCCGCCGGCGAGAGACGTGTAGCGAACATCCTCGGCCGGGTTGAACGAGACCTCGCTGGCCGTGACGGTGAACCTCGCAGCAGACCTTCGTTTCCTGGCGACGATTCTCCCGTTCCTCGTGGAATCCTTGCCGCCCACATCGCTAATACTGACGCCATGGATGTCGACACAGTTACCAACCACGCAAGGCCTAATCGAAGCCGCCGTCTACCTCCCGTAGACATAAAACACCGTCGAACATCTGATAGTGGTATCGGCTCATCAATCGGTGAAGCCCTGCCGCACAAGTCCGCCGCTGGTTCAGGTAATATAACCTTAACCTCTCCCCTTTTTATTTTATTTTTTTTTTTTTTTTTTTGGAGGCATCGGCTAAATTTCCATCATCTAGGACAACCCAGAAAAAGTCCTAGCCGAAGTGCAATTACAAGATCGATATCGTATAAAAGCTCTTCCATGGACGCCTCGAAGCCTGTACTCAGCCCCATCGCTGTAAAGCAGATCGAGCGCCGTATCCTTATTCCAATCCTTCGCGAAAAACATTTAGAACATTTCCATCCTCTTGTCAGAGGTGTCCCTCAACGCATCAAGCTTAACGATATCACTTGTCTTCGTGATCTCGAAAAAACACTATTGTTCCTGGCTCCAGTAAGTCAAAACCAAGAAATGACTTGCCCGTCCAGCTCCTTACTCATTTGTCACCCACAGGACTTTGCACCTACAAGAACCTCATACATCAGCTTCTGCGACTTTACGATCCAGTGCCTTCATACTACGGTTGGATTTCTTAACGATCGCGACCAACGCAGACCTGCCGATCGCCCATACACGAATGGTTATTTCCTTGACCTTGTGGAGCAAGTGAGACAACACGCTGTCATGCTGCATTCCACTCGGCAATCCCAAGGCAAAAATGAAAACAACCTAGACTATTCATCGTATGTGGCTCTAGATCTTCTAGAAGAGTGGATGTACTTACATATTCATAGTGGTGAAGAACTCCATCTTGAAGGTGGACTCAGCAGCACCGGTCGCCCCGCCGAACTCGTAAGACGGAAAAATGGTGTGGCCATCTCCCTGAAAACGGGAGAGCCATACGTAGAATCAAAGCCCATCATGCCTGCCATGAAGCGGTCACTTAGCATTGAATTAGGAGACGACGGAGTTATGCGATCCATGGCGCGCCGTAAGAAGAATGAACCTCCACTGAATATCAACAAGAAATGCGACCACTGTGAAAAAGTGTTCAGGAGGCCATGTGACTTGACGTGAGTATTTACTGCACTCCATTCATTCCACGGGAGAATGATATTAATCTCCAATAGGAAACACGAGAAAACACACACCCGGCCGTGGAAGTGCACCGAGCCAACTTGCAAGTATTCTAAGGTTGGATGGCCAACCGAGAAAGAACGGGACCGCCATGTCAATGACAAACATTCCAAGAGTCCACCCCTGTACAGTTGCCTCTTCAAGCCGTGTACCTACCAGTCGAAACGTGAAAGCAACTGTAAACAGCATATGGAAAAAGCTCACGGCTGGGTCTACGTTCGATCCAAGAACACAGGGAAGGCCAGCGCCCGTGGTTCCAATCACCCGACGCCCAGCATCGCCACTTCGCCAAATCTGGCTGGAGAGATGCCAACGCCAATCAGTGCAGTGGCCCCCTCTCCGTACACCTCTCCGTACCAGCCAGATTTCCAGTCTGGTACCCTAGGACATAATCCTGCACACGAATATAATAACACATTTAATGAGGATTTCCCTCTATTTCCTGGAACACCCAACAATGGACTCGGTGAGAATGCTAGTCCGTTTACTACGCCCTTCGATTTTAGCTCTTTCCACGCTGGTCTTCGTGCCAGCGATCCACATGAGTATGTTCCTAACTTGGATATCAACATGCCTTCGGTAACCTCTGGGGCTACTCCTATAAACGAAGGTTTTGGTTCCGCGATGCTTGACCAGTCTCCCATGGATCTGAGTGATTCCCAGCTTGACTTAAATATCGACTGGCATGACTTGGAAAATGAGTACACGGCAATGAATTTACAACTCCCGACGCCGGAGTCCGTCGAAGCGTCGACTCTCGGATTGTATTCCCGGACTCCGTCCGTGTCTATTCCTTCCCCTGATGCACAGACGGGAGTTCCAAGCTTTTCTCCAAGCGGCCAAGGCAACATCATGCTTTACTCGCCTGATTCCCGGTTTGTGGATGAGGGTTTTGCCGATGTTTATGAGCCCTTGAAGAAGCCGGCCCGTGACTTCACGCTGTTTGATCCTCCTTTGGGCGGTGTTGCAAACCAGCTGGGCATGCCGCTGGACTCTTCAGAAAACGCTTTTTTCACCTGGTATAATGAATCTTGAATTATATTACTTGCCGGTCTTCGTCGAATATATAACACAAATGAATTATACTTATGACCGCGGCTTTTGCACGATTTAATGAGCTCCAACCTCCCTTATTCTGTTGTTCTAAACACTTTGGGGGAGATATCTACTGCTGTTCTGTGTTTGATGACAAAGCCCTTCTTGATATTGATGCTAGCGGACTGAGGGCTCCCTTGGTCTATGTGCTACAGCTACTTCTACTCCCCTCGATGTTTGCCTTTGAATGTGAGTGTTGTTATTTCCGTATGGGCCTCTATACCGTGGAAGAGATTAATTAGAGCGAGCAATTCGCAAGGGGTGTCAGTAGCTACGACTGGAGGTGTGACTTTCCTATCTTCTGCTCTTGTGGGATACTTCTTTATCTCTTTGTGTCTTTGTGCTTGAGCAGGTATCGCCGATACCTAGGTAGGCAGATTATTAATACATACACATATATCAGGGTGGAAATTTGATACTTCAAGCTCCGTAAAATGCAAAGAAACAATGAATCAAGTAGGGTATTCTTACCTAATTCAGAGTACCTGTTTTGGCCATACGCGCCTTCATGCAATGCTACTGGGCAGTTTCCAGGTTCGGGCAAGTTGCACGGGTCAGAGGAGGATGAGGAAGGAGGATAACATCGGGTCGCGGGCCCGATCCGCACCTGCCTCACTTTTTTTTTTCTCCCGGGAGATGTTTTCTGCTCCTTCCATTCCCATCATCCATCGCTCCAGAGCTGCGCCACCTGCACGTGCTCAGCCGAACTACTTCTCGAGGACGTCGCAACGACTGCACGCTAAACTTGATACTTCCATCAAAAAATGACATTGAACTGCCTGCATATATAAAGAGTGATCTAGTTGACTACCTATATATCAATTCTGCAATTCCAAAAATCCGAAAGCCCAAAAGTCCTAGGTTCGGTTTGCTCAAATAAACCAGCACTTGGCCCTGTGTAACATACGCCTCGGGTACTACATTATATTTATAACACGACTAGTCCCAGAAACCTGTACGCTTTTTCTAGCGACACTCCTGAGTCCTCCTCATTTCTCCAAAAAGGTGATATACAACCTCACTAACTTACAGTTGGGGTCGAGGCTGCTTCAAGATGACATCCAGCATGTCGTTTGTCTGAAGAAGCGTTTGGTTAGTATGGATACATATTATGTGGTGAACAAGTGTGCAATTTTGCCTCTTCTAGTGAATTGTCACTGAACACTTACGTAAGTGAAGACGTCGTGGCCAAGCATCCAGGGCTGGAACTCCTCGTCGGACCATCTGTTGGGGTTCCAGGCGTTATTCTTCTCGGCTTTTTTGGCCACTCCCTTCATGGCTCGATCTCGAGCCGCTTGCTCGGGCCCGTCTGGCAAATGCCAAATATAACCATTCTCGCGCCCCGCCGCTTGGATTCTTTCGCAGCGGGGCTTTCTGATAGTCTCAAATGCACGGAGGAGTTTGGGAAATTCCCGGATCGATTTTGCTCTATCGAGACATTCACCCAGGGCAGCGCCATCCTCAATAGCCGTAGCAGCACCCTTTGAACGGCGGTCTGGTTAAGACACCCGTTCACTGTGAGGAGCCTACACACATGGAGGACTCACCTGTGCCAGATAGGGCACCATAGCATGAGCAGCATCGCCAATCAGAACAACTTTGCCACTGGGACTGACCCAGTTTGGCAAAGGAGGCAGATCTGCCAGTTTCCACTTCAAGCAGGACTTCACCTTCGCGAGAACCTTGTTGATCGTAGGGTCGAAGTGAGCATAGTACCTTCGCATTTCATCCGGATCCCCTGGCTCGTTCCACTTCCCGGCTGCGGCCTGGCCCGGGTACGAGAGGACTAGGTTATACATGGCACCTTGACGGATTGGATATGCCATGATATGGCGTTGATAGCCAATCCAACAGTTGGCGTCCTCTTCATCCATGAGGTGCTTGACTTCGCTATCAGCGAGCATCTCTTCCGCCGAAATTGTCACTCGAAAGGCGCAATTCGGCGTGTCATTCGCTTCAATCTCTTTCTCAGGGATAACTGCGCGTCTGGTTTTGGAGCGGATACCTGGGTCATGACGTCAGGACGCTCCAGAAAATTGAGCTCTTGCACGCACCGTCCGCTCCAATTATCAAATCTGCCGCCAGCTTCCGTCCATCAGCCATGACGGCAGCAGGGCACCGCTCATCCACATATTCTACAGGAGTGCCAAGCATGATTTTGGCTCCAGACTCCTTGGCGGCTTCGAACAAGATCCGTTGGTAATCGGCACGATGAATCAACCAGTACCTGTCAAAATTGATTAGGCAAGGCCATACAGATGGTAGAAAGGCCATACATACGGAAACCCATACTTCCTCTCCAAGACGCCGCGGAAGCGGGTCGATCCGATAATTTCTCCAGTGCAATATCTTCTAAAGCAAAGGTTCCTTGGCCACACAACCTTCCCAAGAAACTTTTCCGTCAATCCGTATGAATCCAAGATCCGGGTACTATTTGGCGGTATTTGGATTCCCGCTCCGACTTCATTGAGATTGCTGGCAGCCTCAAGCACCGTAACGTTATGACCCTTCCGCGAAAGGCAGATCGCTGCGCCCAGCCCCCCTATACCTCCGCCAATGATCAAAATTTGAAAGCAATTCCGGTCCTTGCTTACCATGCTGGTCGGCTTTCAGTTTATGGGTTCTTGCTCGCGGGTTTGGATTTTTAGGGGAGGATTTTGCGACTCTGTCGCTCTCTCTTCACGACGATGTGAACAATGGCTTTGTTGAGGGAACACATGGGTCCCCACCCTCGCGTTTTTGACACTCCGTAGCGCCGTGCTTTTACGGAGAGCCGTTACTGGATACGATTCCGGGACTCTTGGCTGCAGATCCTAAAACTTTACGCAGCTGAAAGCTCGCTGTTTATTCCGATGGACGACTTCTACGGCTATGCTCCGGAATAACATGCCGCCAGAGCGGCCTCGCGTTCAGAGCCGTCCCGATTGCCTTGAAGGAAAAATACGAACGATGGATATCCCCATGCGGAGACTTGCGGGAAGACCGGAGAAAAGCCAAGATGATACCCCATTGGGTATAGAGAGAAACCCGGATCGTATTCCAACGGCCTGATTGGAGAATTGTTTCCCAATCATTCCGACTTTCATTCTTGTTGAGCAGCTCGTTAGCTTCTGTGTGACAGCCACGCAGAGTAATGTCAACAACCCCGGCGCAAGACCGTCTGGGAAAGGAAGATCAAGACAGAAGCCCACCCAAGGATCTCAGCCTCAAATGGAGGACAATGTTCCTCAAAGGACAGTTCATAACAACCTCCTGACAGGCTGCCGTCAGGGCCGTCTGATGATCCTTTTAACTGGCCAAAATGGAGACAGAACACCCAAATCTTAATGATCGTGCTCCATTCATTGTGAGATGCGTAGTACAGCACAATGGGTTGCAATGGGTCTTTTAGCTTTTCACCATTATTAGCCTCTGCCAGCTAGTTGCATATCCATTCTGGAGCAGAAACAGTGTATTCTGGGGATTCAGAAGGGAATCTCGAATTGAAAGGGACTCCTCGCTTCCCTAAGTGTCTCCTTTCTCCACCGCTTTTCTCGCATCCTCATACGCAGTTTCGCATACAGGGTCATCTTCTGCCATGCAAACATTGCTATCGTTCTTGAGACGCCGATGCGTTTGGGGAAAGGTTCAATATCAATTCCCAGCGGATTGAATATCATCGGTTGCGTACTTGGCGAACACCTCACTGGGCCAGAGCCTGATTGGTTTTTATAATTACCTCTAATACCCCGTAGTCAAGAGGGAATCTGGATTGTCCCGAAATGCTACAATCGTACTAGGCCCAGGGTAGCGCTGGAGGCAGGCCGCTTTAGTAACTTGGTATGATATTTGCAGTTTCCTTGCGCTACTTTTGTGGCTCTCTTTCACCCTTGCTCGTCCAGTCTCTCGAGATAAACAAATTCCCATTGCAGTTCACGTGGGAAGTCACAAAGTGAAAGCTGGCTAAGCACCAAACAACAACACATCTCCCATCCGAACGGCGTCTAACTACAGACAGGTTAACCCCGGCTGGTATCAACCTTGGCTGCGCTTGCCAATCTATACTATGGATTGGCTTGTTTATGTTCTCCCCCAACGCTCGCTGATCTACCTTTGCGAGCAGGCAAAAGCACGGAACGCGGTGGTTGGCGGGATTGATGAAGGGAATCAAGTCATCCGAATTTCAGACAGAGTCGTAGTTGAATACGGGTACGCGGTTACTCCAGGCGAGGTAGCGACTCAGCAATATGCCTATCAGCACCTTGATCGACGGGTTGTCCGTGTCCCGCAGGTCTACCGCTTCTTTCACGACCGATCTGATCCTTTATGGCCGAAAGGCTATCTGTTTATGGAATATATTCCTGGAAAATCCTTGAAGAACTCGACCTAAACATCGACGATGTCTTTGAGCATCTAGTGAATATTGTTTCCGAGCTTGCGGCAGTTAGAGGTGGTGATATACCAGGGCAGGTTGATGGGGGAATGTTTCAAGGCTACTTGTGGGGAGACAACGGCACAAGGGAGATTTTTCATTCCATTGATGAAATGAATCACTGGCTCAACAAACGACTCCAACTCATCAACAAGGAGATAGATCTGCGTCTGTATCCTCTTGTTCTCTGCCACCTCGACATCTGCCGCCGGAACATCAAGCTGATGGAAGACAACTGAATATATCTGCTTGATTGGGGCCATGCCGGGTTCTTCCCGCGATTTTTTTGAGGCTGCTGCTGTCTCACGCATCAATGATAATGCTGCTTATGGGAACAGCCTCCACAAAGCAATTATGAAGGAAGCAAAGCTGACAGCCCCCGGGGGGGGGGGGGGGGGGGGGGGGGATTGTTAAGCTGCTCCTGAGAGCCCGTGCTGCTAGTTTGCGGTACATATTGTGAGTAGAAACACGGGAAAATGTTCTGGATTGGATTAACTGTTGTATAGTGAACCGCGGGAGGGTGCAGCCTTTCCAATTGGTAATGATTCCTTGCCCACCTTGCCACCTCTTCCGCCTATAGATCCTTGAATGTGTTAGCAACCAACGTAGGACTAGTCAAAATTACAGGAAATATATTTTCTCCAATACGTCGCAACTATTGTGCTGCACTTAAACATAAAATAAACGGCACTACATTGGAGGCAACTTGAAAAAGAATCCGGGCTTTGGCTTCTCAAGGAACGAGGTACACTCTGTCTAAGCCGCGCATTTCCACCCGAAATAATATGTTACGTTCAAAGACCCACGCGTCGCCCCATTGCTAAATGAAAAGTCCCAGGGACTGTAGGGAGAGATTTTGATAAAAATTTGCTCTCGTCCACGATTCTCAGCCCCTAAGCCCATGCCCAGCTCAGTCGTCTCGACCAAAGAGGGCTGGAACTATTTTCTAGACTTGGAGGAGAATGAGTTGAAAAATGAAAGTCGCAGTCCTCTACGGCGACTCAAT